GTTAGCCAGGATGGTCTCGATCTCCTGACCTCGTGATCTGCCCGTCTCGGCCTCCCAAAGTGCTGGGATTACAGGCTTGAGCCACCGTGCCCGGCCACTATAGGTTTCTATTCATATAGAAAATGCCTGGAAGAATGCATACCGTCCTACAATCAGTGGTTACATCACAGGACAGAACTGGGAAACTTATAATAATATACTTATATACTATTATAGTTTTATATTTTGTAGAATGTGCATGCATTATTTTTATAATTTAATTTTTCAACTCTGAGTCAGAAAAATAAGGTCAGCCCACCTCGGTGTGTCTACAAACTTCTCGATCAGCACAGCATCATCACTGAAAGACTTCTTAGCTTCTCTCCGCGCTGATTCTAACTGTTCTTGAAATTCTTGCTCCGATCTAACGATCCTCATTCCCTAAGAGAGAAAAGATGATTATGACCACAACATAAATAAAACAAAGAAGAGGAGCCTGAATTGGCAAACACAAGCATGCACAATCTTACTTTTCCTCCTCCACCCCGGACGGCTTTAATCATGACAGGATAGCCAATTCTCCCGGCGTGTTCCTTCAGGCACTGATCTGATTGGTCCTCACCATGATAACCCTCCACAACAGGTACTCCAGCAGCAGCCATTATGGATTTGGATGTGCTTCAGAGTGGGAAAGCAAACAACATGCCCCAAATTCTATAAACTGTTTCATTCAAGAGAAACACAAATATAGCCCAGTCTATAAATTACGATGGAACCCTTTAAAGAAAACATCAAGTCTGAGATGACAAAATAATACAAATTCAAGATGTCTATTAGTTAGTTTTCCCCAATTCATGTGGTAGCTCATCTCACCCTATTTTTAATCCCAAAATACTAATATATTGATTAGAAACATTAAGTATTTTCTGTAACTCAATGGAATTTCCCTGTCGCAGATAAATAACTTACGCCTATGACAACAGAAGGGTAGAATTAAAATATCTATTATGGGTAAAACAAGCTATTTTTTTTTTAAGAGACAGGGTCTCACAATGTTGCCCATGCCAGAGTGCAGTGGTGCAATTACACCTCACTACAGCCTTAAACTCCTGAGCTCAAGTGATCCTTCTGCCTCAGCCTCCTAAGCAGCTGGGACTACAGGTGTGTGTCACCACACCCAGCTGAAATCTTTTTTTTTTTGAGATGGGGTCTTACTCTGTCGCCCAGACTGAAGTATGATGGTGTGATCACAGCTCACCGCAGCCTTGATTTCCTGGGCTCAACCAATCCTCCTACCTCAGCATCCCAAGATGTTGGACCCACAGGCATGTGCCACCAAGCCTGGAATTTTTAAAAAATGTTGTAGAGACAAGGTCTCCCTATGTTGCCCAGGCTGGTCTTAAACTTTTGGGCTCAAGCGATCCTCCCACCTTTGCCTCCCAAAGTGCTAGATTACAGGTGTGAGCCACTGTGCCCAGGCCTGGCTGAATTAAAAAAAAAAAAAAAATTGAGAGACAAGGTCTCAATATGTTGCCCAGGCTGGTCTTGAATTCCTGGCCTCAAGCTAGCCTCCTGCCTCAGTCTCCCAAAACACTGATATTACAGGCATAGCCACCATGCCTGGCCCAGACTATTTCAACTGACCTTTACACAGTTATATTTTAAAAGATATAAACTCATACCTCTTTATACCCATGTCTCTAATTGCAGATGGAGAAGGGCCTATAAAAATAATTCCTTCTTGCTTACAAAGTTCAGCAAATTCCATGTTTTCTGAAAGAAAACCATATCCTGGATGGATAGCCTAGAAATGAGAAATAAAATAAAAAACTTACTCATTAGTGCTCAACTGGCAACACCTTAATGCAGGTGAAGCTGTCTTCCTCTGGGAGGCCTCTCCCTACACTGCTAATAGTATGATTTCTATTAAAATCTGTTTCCAAAGAAATATCTGAAATATTCATGTGAAAGCTCTGAAGCCTTACCTAAACCAGATGAATCTATATTTCTTTTTATTGTGATAATATATACATAGCAAAACATTGACCATTTTAGTTACTTTTAAGTATGTAATTCAGTGGCATTAAGTACTCTCACAATGTTGGGCAATTGTCATCACCATCCATCCTCAGGATGTTTTAATCTCCAAACATAATTCTCCGTTCCCTCCCTTTCCTTAGTGCCTGGTAACCAGCATTTTACTTTCTGTGTTTATGAATTTGTCTAGCCAAAGTACCTCATGTAAGTGGAAGTGTATAATAATTTGTCTGAGTTTGGCTTATTTCACCTGCATAATGTTTTCAAGGTTCATTCATGTAACATGTATCAGAATTCCATTTGTTTTTAAGGTCGAATAATATCTAGTCTGTATACATATTGTTTACCCATTCATCTCTTGATGGACATTGTTATTTCTACACATTGTGCATACTGCTGCTATGAAAAACAAGTATTGGTATACAAGTATCTGTTTGAGTCCCCGCTTTAAATTCTTCTAGTTGTATACCAAAAGTGGAATTGCTAGATCATATGGTACAGAAGTTTCTGTATACTTAAATTTAAAACAACACTGCAATTACGGTAGAATGTCAAGGAGTAAAAAGCTTCAGAGTGGTAAGGGAAATTTGTCTATTCTGTCTCTGTAAAACTGGCCTAGAATTAAAATCATGGCATCCAAAAATCCCAAAGAGAACACTAGCTCAATAAATACCTCACTTATCTTCAGGTCACTATCTCTCAATGTCATCTTTCCAGAAAAAAGCTAAGAAGCAAATGAAAGTCATGTATTAAAGTCTATAGGAGTGCCCTTTATCCAGGGGGGATATATTCCAAGATCCCTAGTGGATGCCTGAAACTATGAATACTACAGAACTGGACTGATAACAATTGGACCATGCTTCTGTTCATGTCTTCTAAACACAAATTTAATGCCTTTCCCATCTTAACTAAGCACTTGCCATGCACTGTGGCCATAACTTTTGCAGTTTGAGGTGCAACAGGAAAATAACATGAATTTGTTTTTTCTTCTACACAATTTCACAGATAGAAACTTGGTCCTTACCAAGAACCAAGAAATCTCAACATACATATATATATTTTTTCTTTCCTTGAGAATGTTCACCTTTTCACTTAAAAGAAGCATTTTACGGCTTCTCTTTGGCATAAGTGAATTGCTACCGTCATTACTCTTGCATTTTGAGGCCATGATTTAAATAAAATAAGGGTGACTTGAACATAAGCATGGTGGTACCATGACAGTCGATTTGATAACCTAGATGGCTCCTGAGTGACTGTGTTGGGGAGTGTAGACAGCGTGGAGACACCGGACAAAGGGACGATTCGCATCCTGGGAGGGACAAAGCAGACCGTGCAAGATCTCACTGTGCAATTCAGAATGGCGTGCAATTTAAAACACATCAATTGTTGATTTCTGGAATTTTCCATTTAATATTTTCAAACCATAGTAGACTGCAGGCAACTGAAACCACTCAAAGAGAAACCTTGGATAAAGGGGGACAACTGTATGTGTACTTTTAGTGAAAAGGGCATCCCTCAGACTTCAACCTAGTTACTTCTAATGTACTCAGAATTTTAACGAACATACTTACTCGGTTTTTAGCCCACAGAACAGGAAATTCAGTAACTGAAGGACAGCAAGATTTCTAAGAGCAAACACACTGACAGCAAAAAGGGAAGAAACAGAAGAAGGCAAAAGGCAGAGTGGGCCTGGATGATTTCATGAGTGATGAAGTCACTCCCTCTCCAGTATCAGTAGCCCTGAGGGGATTTGTTCTTCTAACATGTATTATAATTATGACCAAAACAATATAAAAAGACAAACGCTTCACCAATACTATTTGAAAATAGTTACACTCAAAGAACATTTCAAAATTAAAGGGGCAAGCTTCAGATATCTGGGAAACTCATACGAATAGAAAAACCCACATCCTAGTGACAGGAAACAATAAAATGCCAGATACAGATAAAATGCTGGACAGTCACAAGTTGCAGCCAGTGTGGAGTTTTATTTCTTTTAAACCAAAGTTCAATTTTATTTTATTAACTTTTATTTTAGGTTTGGGGTGCATGTGAAGATTACACAGGTGAATACATGTCACAGAGGTTTGTTGTACAGATTATTTCATCATCCAGGTATTAAGCCTAGTACTCAATAGTTATCTTTTCAGCTCCTCTCCCTCCCACCTTCCCCACTCAAGTATACCCCAATGTCTTTTGTTTCCTTCTTTGTGTTCATAACTTCTTACTATTCAGCTCCCACTTCTAAGTGAGAACATGCAGTATTTGATTTTCTGTTCCTGTGTGAGTTTGCTAAGGATGATAGCCTCCAGCTCCATCCATGTTCCTGCAAAAGATGTGATCTCATGCTTTATTATGGCTGCATAGTATTCCGTGGTGTTTATGTACCAACTTTTCTTTATCCAATCTGTCACTCATGGGCATTTAGGCTGATTCAATGACTTTGCTATTGTGAATGATGCAATGAACATACATGCACATGTGTCTTTATGGCAGAATGATTTACATTCCTCTGGGTATACAACCAGTAATGGGATTGCTGCATTGAACGGCAGTTTTGCTTTTAGCTCTCTGAGGAATCACCCTGCTGCTTTCCACAATGGTTGAACTAATTTACATTCCCACCAACAGCATATAAATGTTACCTTTTCTCCACAACCTCCTGGCATCTGTTATTTTTCTGACTTCTTAATAATAGCCATTCTGACATTCTTAATAATACCATTCTGAGATGGTATCTCACTGTGGTTTTGATTTGCATTTCTTAATGATCAGTGATATTGAGCTTTTTTTCATATGTTTGTTGGTCGCATGTATGTCTTCTTTTGAGAAGTGCCTGTTCATGTCCTTTGCCCACTTTTTTTTTTTTTTTTTTGAGACGGAGTCTTGCTCTGTTGCCCAGGCTGGAGTACAGTGGCATGATCTCAGCTCACTGCAACCTCTACCTCCCAGGTTCACGCCATTCTCCTGCCTCAGCCTCTCAAGTAGCTGGGACTACAGGCGCCCGCCACCATGCCCTGCTAATTTTTTTGTGTTTTTAGTAGAGACAGGGTTTCACCATGTCAGCCAGGATGGTCTCGATCTCCTGACCTTGTGATCCCCCTGCCTCAGCCTCCCAAAGTTACGGGATTACAGGCATGAGCCATCGTGCCCACCTGTCCTTTGCCCACTTTTTAATGGGGTTGTTTTTCTCTTGTACATCTGTTTAAGTTCCTTATAGATACTAGATATTAGACTTTTGTCAGATGCAAAGTTTGCAAATATTTTCTCTCACAATTTGGGTATTTTGTATAAAATGGTCAAACATCTACACTACAAAAACGAACAGGTCTATGTCCTAGTCCTCCCTGGTTTGGGTTTTCTTTTGAGATATGATTTATAATACATAGCATTCATTCATTTATAGTTTGGTGAATTTAGTAAATCCATACAATTGTGCAACTATCACTACAATCCAGTTTGAGAACACTTGCATCACTAGAAAAAGTTCCCGTGTGCCCACCTGCAATCTGTTCCCACACCCAAGCAACAACTGAGTTGCTGTCTCTATGGTTTTGCCTTTAAAAAAATTCATATAAACAGAATCATACAGTATTATGTGTCTGGCTTCTTCAACTGCACATAATTTTTCAAGGTTTATTCATGTTGTGGAGTGTGTCAGTAGATGATTTCTTTTTATAATATGGATTCTGTTATATGGATATACCACATTTTGTTTACCCATTCATTTGAATTGTTTTCCAGTTTGTGGTTATTATGAATAACGGTGTTATAAACATTCACAGACAAGTCTGTGTGAAAATATTTTTCATTTCTCTTGGGAAAATACCCAGGAGTGCAATTGTTTGTCATAATATGGTAAGAATACATTTAACTTTTCTAAAGGGATGATGCTATTTTGCATTTCCACCAGCAATTTATGATGCTTTCAAGGGTATCCATATCCCTGCCCACATATTGTACTGTCAGTCTTTTTGATTTTGGCCAATCTAGTGGGTGCATAGTGTTACTGCACTTTTTAAACATAGCTGTTGAGACATAATTCATATACCATAAAACTCGGCCAACCCAATGATTTGTAGTATACTCTTGGTTGCACAATTATCACTATAATCTAAAATACCAAGATCTAATAATGTAAGTTTTTAACACTGCAAAAAGAAATCCTGTGCCTATTAGTCATTTCTCATTCCCCATAAACCCCCAGCCCTAGGCAACTGTGAATCTACTTTCTGTCTCTATAGATTTACCTATATGAACATTTCGTATAAATGGAATCATATAATATATGCAGTCTTTTGTGACCAGCTCTGTCACTGAACATAATGTTTTCAAGGTTCAGCCATTTTTTTTTTAACACAAATCAGTAATCCATTCCTTTTTGATGGCAAAATAATACTCCATTGTATGGCTATGCTGCATTTTATTTATGCATTCATCAGTTGATAGACATTTGCGTTGCTCCTTTTTTGGCTACTATAAATAATGCTGCTATGAACATTCAGGCATAAATTTCTGTGCGGATGTGTTTTCATTACTTTTGGATACATACTGAAGAAGTAGAGTTACTAGTTCATAAAGTAACTCTAAGTTTAACATTTTGAGAAACTGCAAAACTGTTTTCCAAAGTGGCTGCTCCAGGTTACATTCCCATCAATAACGTAGAAGGGTTCCAATTTCTCTAAATCCTCACCAATACTTGTTATCATCTCTTTTTGATTATAGCATCCTAGTGAGTATGAAGTGGTATCTCACTGAGGTTTTGAT